TATATTTACTAAATGTTTCAAGGCATTTGTAATCGTATGCATCAAGTTAAAAAACATTTACACGATTAAACTCTACATTAATGTGGCAGTATTTTACAATATCAACATCAGAGTGAAAATAAATTTAGTAACTCTTTAGAAAGGCGTTTGCTTCTTCCTGATTATGTACCCTTTCTTTGGAAATGGTCATCCCAAATCATCTAAAAGTACCAAAGCAACTATACGTGGAGCTATGTCATCCTAAAATCATCATCAAAATGTATTATGTTAGGCCTAGGCGTATACGAAAAGAGCTCACATTGCCTTATAGGAAATGCATGGATCATAACCAACAGTAAATGTTATGTTTTTCTTCGCACAATGAAGACATACTAGTCGTTTTGCTGTCTTAATTCTGCCCCGTACAAATAGGGTCAATGGCGTGGATTAGACAGCTGTAACCATGGCTTTTGCTGTAGCAGACACCCCCATTTGACGTTCGGTACATTATGTAGCAAGTGGTCCGAAAGGGTTGGAGGGGCTTGCCACCATATACATTCACGCGCCTGAGTAGTTTGTTAGTACATATGAAGGTAAACATTATGCATTTGGATTGCAAATGTTACTTTTCTAGTTAGTGAATCTTCACGAGGCACTTCCCACGCAAATTTTACACGTAACAGTTATGCGCTTACATGATAATGATATTACAAGGGTAATGTACCATATGTATCACACTTCTTTCTGGACCATATTTAGACGACTGTTATTGATCAGATCCATACAGTATGATTGTAGAGTGCCTACTGAAGCCACTCAGAACCTTGGAACATATAATAAACAGATTGTTACATTGAATATAATGCATTGTACATGGAGTACAGTACAACTTGCTCTACCAACCCTTCGTATCAATTGAGGAATCACAACTTTTGAGCAGGCAAGGACAGGTTTAGTGATTTTACAGGATGAAGCGTGCTTCTAGATCAGCCGTTCCAGCGCTCAAGTCTTAGTTGTTGTCATTTAACCGAACCGACTTGCACTCAAAGCTGTGCATACCTTGGGTAACACTGCAAAACATTGTGACACTAAATGCATTTTTTCAAAGTGATAGACATGATACATATTCGTAACCGAGCAATATCTTTTCTCAATATGAATATTGATATTTGGTATGCTCTGTCTCTTGTATCATGTCCAAAATATGCTTTTAACTTACTTGTACTAAAACGAGCAGATTCAAGAACAGAATTAAAATTCTAGCCATGGAAGATATTATTTCGAGGGAGTACAGGGCATTCAATATGGTCTAAAACATTTTTTTTTCAATCATGTCTCAATTCTGGTCTTTTTCTGGACCTTGCCTAGACAACAGCACTACAGTTACGACTACAGTAATGTGTTACACGTTCAGCTTTACCGGATTCATAACCCAATTTTTAGTGACGACCAGATAACAAGACTACGAACTTTAAGGCTTTTCTCGTCCATAACAATACAAATCACTTATCTCTTTTTGCTGACGAATGCTAAATATATACATGTCATTATAAACATGACTCTATTGTGATGTGAACTTTCAGGACGCTCCCTTTCATTTAGCGATCGCATTTCAGTCTAACATAAGATGTGTAGTGCCATTACATGCACAGGCAGGTAAAATAAATTATATTAATTCTATAAACATCATTTTAGCACAATCTAATATTTTTCTACAATTGTATTGACACCACCAGTGTTGTCCAGATATTAATTCTATAAACATCATTTTAGCACAATCTAATATTTTTTTACAATTGTATTGACACCACCAGTGTTGTCCAGATATTAATTCTATAAACATCATTTTAGCACAATCTAATATTTTTTTACAATTGTATTGACACCACCAGTGTTGGCCAGTTTATATGCTAGTTATTCCATATTTGTTTGATAGTCTAATTTACTTACAGTTACAACCTATGGTCTTAACCAGGAATAAACATTGTGGCTTTATGTTAAGTCTAAGATTATACTAGTATTCAATCATGTATTTTCAAGGTATAATTTTTTTATAACAAAAATACTGGAAAAATGCATACATACAGTTTGGCTGTATGTTAAGTTTAAGATACATTTTGTACTGGTATTCAATCCTCCATTTTTAAGGTATAAATTTTATTTTTTTCTTTAATAACAAAAATACTGGAAAAAATCACACATACAGTTTAGTTTGGCTGTATGTTAAGTTTAAGATACTAGTATTCAATCCTCTATTTTCAAGGTATAAATTTGTTTTTTTCTTTAATAACAAAAATACTGGAAAAATTCATACATACAGTTTAGTTTGGCTGTATGTTGATTTTAAGATACTAGTATTCAGTCCTCTATTTTCAAGGTATAAATTTTATTTTTTCTTTAATAACAAAAATACTGGAAAAATTCATACATACAGTTTGGCTGTATGTTAAGTTTAAGATACTAGTATTCAATCCTCTATTTTCAAGGTATAAATTTTATTTTTTCTTTAATAACAAAAATACTGGAAAAATTCACACATACAGTTTAGTTTGGCTGTATGTTATGTTTAAGATACTAGTATTCAATCCTCTATTTTCAAGGTATAAATTTTATTTTTCCTTTAATAACAAAAATACTGGAAAAATTCACACATACAGTTTGGCTGTATGTTAAGTTTAAGATACTAGTATAATTCAATCCTCCATTTTCAAGGTATAAATTTTATTTTTCCTTTAATAACAAAAGTACTGGAAAAATTCATACATACAGTTTGGCTGTATGTTGATTTTAAGATACTAGTATTCAATCCTCTATTTTCAGGTATAAATTTGATTTTTCCTTCAATAACAAAAATACTGGAAAACTTCACACATACAGTTTGGCTGTTTGTTAATATTTTAAAAGATACATTTTGAACTGGTATTCAATCCTCCATTTTTAAGGTATAAATTTTATTTTTTTCTTTAATAACAAAAATACTGGAAAAATTCACACATACAGTTTAGTTTGGCTGTATGTTAAGTTTAAGATACTAGTATTCAATCCTCTATTTTCAAGGTATAAATTTGTTTTTTTCTTTAATAACAAAAATACGGGAAAAATTCATACATACAGTTTGACTGTATGTTAAGTTTCAGATACTAGTATTCAATCCTCTATTTTCAAAGTATAGATTGTATTTTTTCTTTAATAACAAAAATACTGGAAAAATTCACACATACAGTTTGGCTTATGTTAAGTTTAAGATACATTTTGTACTTGTATTCAATCCTCCATTTTCAAGGTATAAATCTTATTTTTCCTTTAATATAACAAAAATACTGGAAAAAATCATACACACAGTTTGGCTGTATGTTAATTTAAAGATACATTTTGTACTGGTATTCAATCCTCCATTTTCAAGGTATAAATCTTATTTTTCCTTTAATAACAAAAATACTGGAAAAATACATACATACAGTTTGGCTGTATGTTAAGTTTAAGATACTAGTTTTCAATCCTCTATTTTCAAGGTATAAATCTTATTTTTTCTTTAATAAAAAAAATACTGGAAAAATCCATACATGCAATTGTTGTCAATATATAATGCTCATACGTTAAATGGTAAAAAGACCTGCTATCCTCTTTCGTAATTTCAATCTTAGACAATGAAAGTGTTGCTAGAATTTATTAGCAATTGCGTGTTTAGTAATCAACGTACATGTACACTACAGTATGGATGATATTTTTGGGGAAAGTCATTGGCAAATAAGAATTTGTTTATTTTGTATATTTTTTGTGAAATGTGACACCTACTTGTTTCTTATATAAATGCTTGTCTTAAATTAGCAACTTGTAAAAGACAAACGATGATAGTTTACATTCCCTTACTTATTTTGTTTAATGTATTTTTGTGTGAAATGTTTTGTATGATTTCTGCTTACTGAATAAAGCTGGAAAAATGGGCAAACAAGAAACCAAGGGGAATATGAGGAGAGAACAACAGAAGATGTATTATGTTGTCCATTGTATATGTTTTTAATTTAAAAACTTAAGTTTTTTCCCCCATTCACCATTTTTGAAAATTGTATTAATCCTTTTTGCTATTTTTTTCTCTTTTTTTGTATTCTAATCTATGAAAGTAATGATACGTTTGAGATGAAGGCTTAAGAATTAAGATAATATTGACTAATCTCCAAGCAGATCTTTTGGTGGGGGTAAGACAGTATCAAATTGGCCAGTCTGTATCCATTTCCCCACCTTGGGTGGCCAGTCTGTATCCATTTCCCCACCTTGGGTGGCCAGTCTGTATCCATTTCCCCACCTTGGGTGGCCAGTCTGTATCCATTTCCCCACTTGGGTGGGAATGGATACAGACTGGCCAATTTGATACTGTCTTACCCCCACCAAAAGATCTGCTTGGAGATTAAATATTGACGGTTTTTGAAAATAAATTGTGTGTTTCTTTCTTTTCAGTTTACATGGGTTAATTTTAAGAGCCTAGAAGACATCAGCTTTTGTTTCTATGACTTCGACCCTACCATATATACATATCATATGCAATCTCTATTTTTTTCCACGTCGATTGGATGGATATTAGTGCAATTTTACGGTGTTCTAAAACAAAAAAAATACACACAACTAAAGAAATTCCTCTTTGGGAACTCACAGGATGTAATAAGCTTCTTCGTCAATTATTCGCTTCTTCGCAAATTATACTCCCGATTTGAATTATTAGTAACTGATTATTTGAAAAGTCAAAAGTCATGATGACCCTTTATTGAATTACTCTCCTTCAAAGTTTCAAACTACAAGGCCTACCAAACATACCAAGTATCATAAAGATCCATCCACAATTTCTTCAATTATTGTGTTGCTCTATGTCGTCAAATATCATTGCCAGTTACTTCACAGAATGTTGGTGTTTTTTTCCTTCAATTTGTCAGTTCTTCTGGAATAAAGTTAGCATTTCATTTTTCCTCTGTTAAACAAAATTTGATTGGCAGAAATGTGACACAATTGGGGCGGGTGAGAATTATGTTTGAATTTCTTGAAGAATAATTATGTCCAAAAGTAAAATAGACAATGATTGGGACAAATTCCATCCATCAATTCCTTTCATTTTTCTGTACTTACTGAATCGGGCAGTGAGCGGACGCTGGTTCATAGCTGTTTGTCTCGGGGTTTTCTGGGGTGTTGTTTACTGCCTCTCTACGGTCATTCTGGCAGTAGGTAGCCGCCCGAGACCCGCCAGCACAGGCCGCAGGGGAGGGACAGACGTATCTGTTTGCCCCACCGGTGGCGACCTGGCTAGGATGGTTCTCATCGTACATTGCGGACTGAGCACCGGCCGCAGGGGAGGGACAGATGTACCTGTTTGCCACACCGGTGGCGCGCTGGCTAGGATGGTTTTCATCATACATGGCGGATTGAGTCCCGGGCTCACTACCAGGCGAGGCGGCGGGCTGGTAGGTATTGGCCGCGGGGGACGTTGCGGAGTTGCAGACTGCCTCGCTAGGGTCATGCTGGTCATATGTGTTTGGCAGGGTACGCTTTAGGTCAGTGGCCAGGGCAGGGGAGTTGTAGCAAGCCGCCTTGTGGGCGACGCTCGCATTCTGCTGGTAGGCAGAGGACTTGGTGGCACCCGGGTTGGGGAGAATGGAGGGGTGCTTGTAGCAGCTTTGGCCGGACTTGCCGCGACCATTTTGGCCATAGCCAGCCAAGACGGCCCCTTTCCTGTTTGGTTTCTGACGGGGGTGCTCGGTGCTGTACGGGCGGGACGGCGCGGGGTGTGTCTGCGCGCGGGGGCGGCTTGCCTCACGGTACGCTGGGCACAGGTTCGCCTGCCCGTAGGGGACGATTTCTGACTGCGAAGATTCGGCCCTGCGCAGGTCAGGGTGGTCATTGAAACCACCCTCAGCGTAAGCGTTGATGACATACTCTGACTCATTCAAGCTGTCGTGATCGTCTAAACTCCCCTCGGCGTACGGACTGATCACTGACTCCTCCGAGTTGCCCCCTGGAACAGGCCACATGGAGCAGGCAGTGATCTGGTTGCCATTGCGGGATGGACCTGCACCGTTATCAGGGGCTTTGCGCTTGAGCTTCTGTTTGATACAACTAGCCATGGCACATCCCCAAACCCCTACCGCAGCAGCCGACAACCCGCCCAGAGCTGCCCACACGATGTACCATGTGAGATCTGCATCATCGCCCGTGCCAGTAGCCAGCGGTGTAGTGCTGGACAGTGGTGTAGTGTTGATGCTGACTGAGAATGGTGTCGTGTTGAGGGGTGTCAGTTCGGTTGCTGTCAGTGGAGTTGTTATGTCAGAGTGTACGTGCGCGCTTACCGAGAAGACGGCAGTGTGGGAGCCAGTTTCCGAAGACGCCGTACAAGTGGCGTTCCCAAAGGGCAAGGGCTCGGCGGTCTCAAGCCAAAGAGTGAAGCTGGACTTCCCCATGTAGTTAGAACACAGGCTGTGGTTTCCTGTTTCCCCCAACAAGTTTTCTGGCCCCTTACACTTCACCCAGCCCTCAGCCTTTAGGTCGGTCACCACACTTATGGTTAGGTTGCCTGTCGGGAGACTGTCGTGTGTGGTCGTGTTCGTGTCGTATGTTATGTTGAATGTGTGGTGTGAGTCGTTAGGGAAGGCAAAGGACACTATCGGCAATTGCTCCCAATACACGTCGCCAGAGGCTTCGTACCTGTACGCGGCGCTGCGCCCAACATGCGTAACCTCAACCAGCGGTACAGGACAGGGCAATCCGTTGGGATTGACCGGAGCGGGAGGATTTGGCGTCAGCGGCGAGGCGGGGCAGCTTGCTGGGGGAGGGGGGACCCTTAATGTCAGGTTAAACTGCCTCTTGATCTTAAGGGCGTTTCCTTCGTGTTCGTACAGCCAATCGTTCGCACACGTACAGCGCGGCGGGTTGTCAAGCTTCATTCCCTGCGACCAAGGCAGCGCCCTCCCCTCCAACGCGATAGCGGCAATACCATTTCCACGCACGTTGAGATTCATGATTGGAAATGACGATTTGAACCAACCACCAGACACAAAGGTCAGCCTGTTTCCCGCCAGATTTAGGACGCTCATTTCCGTGTTTGAGTGGAACGCTCCCGCAGCAATGTGGGAGATTCTGTTACCCTCCAGGTTCAGGGATTGCAGCCGTTCAAGCCCGTGGAACATCTCCACGCCGATAGATCGCAGTTTGTTCTCAACCGCGCGGAGATATACTACAGACTTGATCGCCTGCAGGGTCCCCGGTGCTACAGTAGCGATAAGATTGGCACTTACGTCAAACCACTGCGGCTGTACACCCAGGAACGCGCCGGGCGACATCGTCAGGATCTGGTTGTCCACAAGGATGAGATTGGACAGCCTGGGCAACCCATCAAAGCAGCCATCCTGCAGTAAATCATACTAGTACTGAGTATTGTATGATAACACCAAATAATATATTCATATAAAAATAATGTATTTCATTTCTATACCTTCTTATATATATGTAGCGGTAAAATATAACAAAATATATTGAGAAAAGGAATTGTGTCAAAATTCTGTGTCTGTATACGTAAGAAACAATCAACACTGTGGGGCCAAAACTAACAATCTTTACGTCAGATTATTTTGCATCCTTGAATGGGTACGTAGCAGGCTCCTAAAAATTAAATTTCTGATAAAGCCCACCCTCTGCCCTTTCAGAAAAGTGTAAGATATGATCATGTACATAATATATCAATAAATTTGAATGTTAGTGGGATAATATTCATGTTGATTTTGAAATCTCACCTCCAGATGTGTCAGGTTGTTCTCCAACATCAGCAGATACCTGAGACCCTCCATCCCAGCAAACGTGCCGTTCTTCAGAGTCTGGACATTGCTCCGCCAGATGACCAGCTCAGATACCTGTGGCAACTTAGCAAACGCCCCTACCTCTATTGCCGTTAGGTTACAACCCACAAACCACAACTTGCACTTGCTACCACATGGGATCTGAGAGAGGATCTCTGCCTTGTCAGTGCCAAGCTCGCCGACGTTGTTGTCAACGATCATGATATCGACGATATCGGTGGACAAAGGGTTCTGATTGGGACCCCCCTGGGTAGGCCTTGTTTCGTTTGAGCAGATCTGGCAGGATTGAAACGCCTGATACGAAGGAACAGTGTCAAAGGGTCCCTTGTAGCTGTTTACTTCGTGCGGGTATTTGGTCCACTTGTACCGGTACGCTTCAATGTCATACCGGTACTCACGACCATCACTACGGCTGTCACCTACACCACACTTGGCCACGGACACTTCACGGCAGCTCTGCCAGCTACCTGCGTCCACACATGGCACTAGCAGCCGCATAAGCAGCAACAAATAAACTTTTGCCATCGGCTTTATCGCCATGATAGAGCGTTAACACACCATACTATTTAAAGGAATGAGCTACAACAACAGAAGGCTTACCATATGCCCCTTACCAGAGGATTTAAAAAATATTACCGTTAGTATCTCCACACCTGGACAGCACAGAAGTCAGCCGTGTTGCAGCCACAGTGGCGCAACAGTGGTCTAATTCTACACCATCATGCGGATTGTTACAGGTTTTGATTGGATTCTGATGTTCTCGTTATGTGGGACAGTTAATTCGCACCGACAGCGTCATCAAAGAACAGAAGCATTCTTAGTCCAAAGATACTCACAAGCCACGTGGATACAGCCTGGCCAATTTGCTACTTTCATTGCGGCCACCGAAATATATGTGTGGGGATTACACTTAGTCACCAATTGCAGGCCATCGCGAGCAGAACCAACTTCTACAGGCTCTCGTTCTTCCGCCCGCACCATCAGGGAATGGAATGAACTTGAGCCTGGTGCGGCGGAGGCGGGGTCTCTTGCCCAGTTCAAATCTGAACTGGCGAGGACCCTGCTGCATTGAGCCACCCCATCATGTTTTGTATATATGTAAATATTACTAACGCACTAATGCCCGTCTTTAGCACACACAAAATCAGTTGTCTTATGTTCCCTTCTCACTTATCCTTGTTTAACCTTTGTTTTTATGTACTGGGTCACAATTGTAACTAACAATGCGTAACGGCTGCCAATAATCCTACATGGTTGGGCTAGGCAGTAACGGAGATGATGATGATGCTGAAATATTTTGATTAGTCAGATAAAAAATATTTTGACAAACTTTTTACAGACTAACCTATGCAATGTTAGGTAAGCATAGTGCTTCAAATATCGCGTATACAGGTCATTTTCCACTGAAGTCAATACAAGAACAGGAAGCACACATCACAAATTAGTAATGTGTTCTTTAGAGTGCTGGCCAGTCACGAATCCTAAATTGATAATTCACTTGTTCCTATCCGGTTGACCCACAAGTGTTCAACCAGATTCTCAACTTCTAACAGTTTCCGGCTACCAAAACCAAAATGCAAAAAGAGAACCTTTCAGTACAGGGCAATCTAGTTTGGAACACATTACCACAGGGCACTTAAATTAAAACACTTACCAGCACATCTATAAAGCTATCTGCCAACTGTTCAAATAGTGTGACTTGTATTATTAGTTTGTAGAAGATTATGTTCCTTCATTTTTATATAGTGTAAATCTCTTTGTGTGTTATATGTGTGTGTTTTGATTTGGTATTTGTTGTATGTATGCTTTTTTTCGAATAAACCCTGGAAGATTAGCATTCTGGCTAAAGGGTATCGAAATAAAGAGAGAGTCATTTAAGTGTGAAACTTCATTTTGTGTCACATCATAAGGTGTTTATACATTACAGGTTGAATTGTTTAAGTGGTGGAAAAGTGTTGTAGGAAAAGACGTTAAGTTAGACCAACACGAAATAGTGTATGGTAATGTCGATATGTCGAACAGAATGTACTTCTGTGTTACTGATATCAAGTTTTATTTATATAAGATGAACATTAAGGATTTACTTCATTTTACTAGCTTCGAAAAGTGTAAGACTAGATTTAAAGCAATTCATTTGTGATTTTATGATGATTATAAATACGGGGGGTAACTGATGGTGTGGGCGTCCCAGTTTTTTTAATATGCTTATGTGAGTCATGTATGGATACATATTTGTATTTTTATATTGTAAACCTCTGTATGTGTCACACTGTATGTATTGTTTTCTGTATTTTTGTCAATAAAGTATGTTAAAAAAATAATAAAAAATGAAAAAATAAGGAGTTTATACACGGTGTTTGGCCAAGAATAATGCTGAACTGAATAGATCAATTTCATATATATATACCCCTCCCACCTCTACACCCGCATATATATATATATGTCAACACAAATAATTGTTTTGTTGGTTCTCTTTTTTTTTACTTTTCTTATAGATTTTGTACAGTGGTTATAACCACTCCTTTGCCAGGAAAGTACATTTACTTTACGAATGTTACCATAGAAGCCATGATTGATAGAGATTCCCAAGGCCCTAAAAATGAGCAACCTTCCACCGAATGAAATTTTCTTTACATAAATGTACACAATGGATCTAAGACGTGTTGAAAATACCCTCAGCTAAGCACCCATTTTAATATTGTGATGACATTTGATATTCAGAATACGACGCGGCAAAAACCGGAGGTTTCGCTGCAGTACCATAGAAGGCAGACAGGGGGCATTTTTGAACTTGTTCAAGCAACCGTTTTCCATCAGTGACATCGTATTTTTGCCTCACAGATGTCACTGTACTATAAGATATGGTTAATTCAACCTACTACTAACATAAAATGAAAATCCAGTTTCGTTGCCCTGGAACTGTATTGGATGTCTTTAAACTGCAGTGAAAGCACTGTTTCTAAGGACACAGCAAGTAAATGCATGGATGACATCCTTCGCAGACTCCAAATCTAATGCGAGCGGGAGAAAAAAAACAAGGCGGGCCGAAAAAAAACAAAGTTCCTATAATTTAAAATTTTGACTCAATCATTGTACAAATATAAGTGGTTTTGATTCAGTGGGAACATCACATATACACAGCCAGCATCAAATATCACTGCATAAAAGTAAGAAACAAAACATTAAATCAGAGCATTGTCTTGTCTCCTCTCTTTATAGTTATCTGCCATCCACCTTCCGGCATGGCAACATACATCTTTGCCCATTTTCGGCATGCATATTGACCACTGTCAGAAGGCAAAAAAATTCTTTTTTTTTTTCGAAATCAGGCGACAATTAATGCGCGCGCTGATGTCATCCATAAAATTACTTGCTGTGGCCTAAAGTAGAAAAACTACAAGGGAGTAGAGACAGACATGGGTGTGCCTGAGTACATTTCCCGATATAGAACTGATAAAGACCCTAACCTAGCGCCTCAAAAGCAAGACTTTAGTCTCCCCTTCCCAATCACATTTACATACATATACACATAACTCTTATTTCTATAGTGTATACCACGCAGTTATTAAATTTTTTTAGCCATGTGCACTTTTAGAGACATCACTGATATGCTGGCAATCCAATAACGCAGGTTTATGGATTATTAATTTTATTTTATTCACATTTATTTTTCGAGGATTGGGCAAAAACTTATGAAACTTATATCAGCCCTCTCCTCACACATAAAAGAAAACAATAAAACAAAGTAATAATAATAATAAGAAGAAGAAAGGACAAAGGTACATAATGAGCTGGTGTACAAATCAAAATCAATCACCTAAATCAAACAAAACGTCCTGTCTGCAAAATAATCACATCAAATATTTTACAGTTGTTGACAAACGACAATGAGGGGTTACCCCTGAGAATGGTTGAACATAAGGTGTTGTTTACGGATTATCACTGATGATCTATTTGGAAACGATTCGTGACACCATAATTATGTTAATTGGCATGGCGTCAGGGTGACTCATGCATGACGTAATCGCCCTTGTCTTTGTACGTTCAAACGCAGAAGTAGGGTACGCTCTACGCAGTTTGAAAGAGCGAGGCATCCTAGTTCTGACATAAAAGTTTGAGTAGCTCGTACAGTCTGCTTCTTTGTTCGAAAACGACGCGAGGAGAGTAAAATGGGTGTCCAGTCGAGCTGGACAGCGGTGGGAGTGGTGTTGCTGACCATAGTGCAACTACAGGTGGACCGAGGAGGGACGGTACTGGCACAGAACACAACACGTAAGTTCGGTAGAGACAAACAATGCGTTTAGACTTACGTCGTTGTTGTTGTTGTTTATTCCAACATCTAATCACAAGACGTGGTGACGGCACACTGGAGTTTTTTCAAATTATATTAATGCCGCCACCAATACAGGGGATAATATAATATTCATTTTCACTTGAGAGAAGTAAGGAAAGTCGTGTAAAGTGCCTTTTTCAAGGACACAAGATCAGTGGCATGTCAGGACTCGAACCCGGGACCTCTTGGTTCCGAGTCGAGCACTCTGTCGCTACGCTACACGACCCCACTTGTTGTTGTTGTCCTTGAAATTGTTTAAAGTCTAATATGTCGCTAGAAGTCGCTAAAGCCGGCTTGAAACTACGTATACCCCCAGAAGTGGTTTGAGATGTAGCCAGTTTCATAGTGACTTGGAAGGTTGAGAAGTACTCTCCAAGCAGATTTTGTGGGGCAAGGGGCCGAGGTTGTCCACCTGTACCCTCTGGTCTCTTGTCGAGGGCGATCAGCGAATACAGGAGGGCAATATAGACTCCCCTTGCCAAACAGAATTTGCATGGAGATTAGATCAGACGTACCCTGGACGTCAGATTCGTTACGGGCCGTTAGCCGTTTCCCTTCGGCAGCCAAGAGCCCTTCGCCCACCGGTCTAAATTACCGCTACGGGGGAGTCTAAAAACGTCTACTTACCCTGGGTGCCAGCCAAGTTTACGGGCCGTTAGCCGTTTTTCTTTCGGCAGCCAACAGCCCTTCGCCCGCCGGTCTAAATTACCGCTACGGGGGAGTCTAACTTCTCCCGGGCTCAACTCCGCCGT